CAAGGCCCTGGTGGGGGGGCCAAAACGCTTAATGCCTTTTTTTTTTTTTTTTTTTTGCTTCGATCTTCACTAAAAACTCAAAAGCAATCAAATGCCTGACGAAGCTAATGCCAGTGTTAACAGGATAAAAACGCATGCGACAAGGAGAGGAGATTTGGTTAGAGAGTAATTAGATAACTGTGGTGTTTTCAATCATCCCTGCCTGTTGAACTGCATCCCAGGACACTCGGCGAGCTTCCTGAAGCAGCCTTGGAGATGCAACTGCTTAACTGCGAGGAGCCACCGGGGATGGGGAGGTTCCAGGGGCTGGGGAGGGCAGACCGAGGGCTCTGCTTTCAGAAGAGGGGAAGGAGGCACTGGGGAATTACAGAGTAGCCAGGCCGGCTTCAGGCCCCAGGAAAATACTTGGACAAACAATCAAGCTGCTTGTCAGCGCTTACAAAATATAAGGAGATGATCAACAGCCACAGGAATGTGTCAAGAACAAATTACACTGAAGCAATCTACTGATAGGAGAGCAGGGCTTGCGGGCAGCAAAGCAGCCATTTAGGTTTTATACCTTGATGGTTTTAAGGCTTTTGACACGATTGCACACGATGTTCTTGTGGCAAGTGAGATAACGCTGATCTAGACCGAACTGCAGTGAGAAATACGTACTCTGAGAGCAGCTACCAGTAATTTGCCGGTAAACTGAAGGGTGTAGGCAGCCTGCTCTGGGTCTCTTTACACATTTCCAATAAAGAGGGGTATAAAGGAGCAGAGAACACATACATCAGACTTGCCATGGCACTAAGGTGATAGCATGCACCACCATGGCCAAGGGAGCTGAAGGGGATGGAGAGGAGGCGACCACACGCTCAGGGAATTGCTCTAAGCCCAGGGGTGATGCTCCGACACTGCCTGTGCCCGCTCTGCTGGACCGAGGTGCAAGCGAGGTGGTGACAGCCAGGAGCTGCTCGCTCTGGTCGGGATAAGCTGCGTTAAGCCTGCACGTCTGCCTTTATTCTGTCGCCTTTCCTGGTCACTGAAAGCCTCGGTGAATATGGAGCCAGCTCTGAGGTCTGAAAAGAATAAACTTATTTTAAAAGCAATGTTTTAAGGAGGGTCAAGGAAATAAGCTAACCGGATAGCTCGCATTAATGTAACGCAGCAAAGTCACAGAAAGCAAAAGGAAGGAAAAATGTGGAAAAGAAATTCCTAATTCCTTTCACAACCTTTCTCTAAATGCTACTGGTTATTTGAGTGAAAAGTAGCTGAATTAGATTAATCTAATATATTCATCCCACCAGTTCAGGCACATTAGCTGTTTTTCTGGATGCTTAGTGAATTAGAGACAGATACAGTTACTTAATACTCATTTACTTCAGATCTCCAGGCAAAAAGCTGCACTTGAAATGAAACTCCTATAGAGAGGATAAGATAGACACCTAAATGACAACATGAAGATAGCAAAAAGGTGTTACCTGCAGCTCCTCTGCTAGAAATGAAACCTTTTCGCTGGTGCAAAACAGTTGTAGTTCTTAAGTACCACGGGAGGGGATTTGGTTCATGTTTAGGAGCCTCTGCAGAGGACTGGGAATTGATTTTCCATGCATCCACCGGAGGAAACAAGCCGTCTGTTTAACCCAGTGCAGGGCCTGACACTGTGAAATTATATTTTCCCCATGACACTTATTTTGTTTCTGTGCGCCTGGACACAGAGATGCCACGTGTATTTCATGTTCTGCCGTGACTTTCCGAGCTGGAAACCTCAGTGATCGGGAGAGCGAGCTAGGAGAAATGCACAGATGCTTTCCCGTGGTCTCCCGGCACACAAACCCACCGGCAGACTGCAATCAGGCCACAAAGAGCAGAAAACTACTAATAAACCTATCTCTGCATCAAACCACATTGTTAATACGGGCACTCTTGGTATCAAGAGTATCAGGTATCAAGACCATTTATCTCCTTCGGTCTTGGCACGGTCTTGGCATGGCGTGAATCTGGAAGCACCAGTCTCTCCAGTGACTCCAGCAGAGCCTTGATGGCCAGTTCGCACAAGATGCCCAACCGTTAGTGGTTAAAGGGCATGTCTGACCCCTCCTGAGATGACCTCCTTAAACCGGACATCTCTGTTACGGACAGCTGCGGTTAGATGAGAAGAGCACTGTCATGGGTGGCTAAAAGCGCAAAATGAAGACCTCGAGTGATGACCAGCCCTCTATAAGTACAAACAGGGCCAAAAGAGAATGCTATAAATATTTTACTGCATGACTATGGACAGCCACATTACTTCTGAGTAATGAGAACATGAAGAATCACAGTATTATTAACAGCTGGCTAAAACTCACTTTGAATTCTGGATAATTGCACTGTTTTTTCTTCATCAAACACAGAAATCTTCCAGGAATTTAACCTTTCCCCAGCTAACAGATCATTAGGCAAGGCTTTCACAAAGCATTTCAACAGAAAAAGCCATTGCCATACCAGAATGAATCTTAATAGAGCAGAACTGGATTTATAAGACGTTCTGCCTGCCCCTTCTCCCCCCCTGCCCGGTGCAGAGATGCTCACACTCAGCACTCACATGCCACTGAGCTCTGGGAGAAGGAAAGAAAAAAAAAATTAAAAAAGACAAAAAAAAAAGTGCAAGGACGCTGACAATCAGCTTCTGCCACTTACTAATGCTCACGCAGTGGGAGCGAGGCGAACCAAGGCAGCAAAGCTACGTGTTCGTTCCCCTGCACCCGGGGCAGCGCGGTGCTGGCGGGTTTCAATGGGGGTGGGCTCCTGCCTCGGTGGGTTTGGGACTAACAGCGGCCAGCAGGCTGAGGCCCCATGGCCCTGGTACAAAAAAGAAATCAGAAGATATTTGGGCTTTCTCGAACTTTTACATCCCCGGTTGCAGAGGCTTGAGCGCATCTGGCGAGTGAATACCACCCGACGATGCAGGGCTGGGTGACTGCCAGCTGAAGCTCTGCACAGGAACTGAAGATTTTGGTTGCTTGCATGGATCTCTCACTCTGCACAGAGGGAGACAAACAATTTCAAAATGCAGGGGAAGGTGTCTGTGAGGCCACAAATGGTGGTGGGGTTCGTGGGACAAGTATGCCCTTTGGGATTCTTTCCCATCTTTCTCCTTTTTATACGAGGCTAAATTCTGAATTCAGTTCTCTCAAAGACGGATGGCACTTAACTCTGAGGCAGGCCAACACAAAACCTAAGGCACATTAAAATGTCTCTGGCAGTTTAAAATAATTGGAAAGACTTTCTAGTTACAGTTACTGAATTAAGCATTATACTAGAGACTTTATAAAGAACACAGTATTGACTGCCATTTGGTAAGAGGGACAGCTCAATAATCTCTGGGTTTGAAAGTCTTCCATGTTTTTTATTCTGCTTCAGGAATTTTGCTTTGGCAGGGTTTAGCAACGAAGAGTGGAAATTCATGTGCACGCTGAGACAGATGCTGAGATCAGCCAGTGGGCTGAGGGGTGGCGGGGCATGGCACGGCGTGCCAGGGGCTTTCGTAACTCTGGGAAGTCAACCAGGAGGACAGGAAAGAAGAGCCTGTTCTCCCTCTATCCCCACCGTTCACCACGTCCATCTCTCGCACGTACATCGTGTGCCAGCGCCGAGGAGGATGGGGCGACAGCTGAGCATGGAGCAGGCAGCACACACCACGCTCCCCAAATCTGCAGGTTAGCTGAGAGACCAAGCAAATGCACGAGAGATGAACCCTTCTGTTGATAAGGCAAAGAAATGCAGTTCTAGAAATAACGATTTTAACTAATCACGGGTATTGCTCGACTCTGCATTCCCTGTAAATTCTAAGCAATGCCTGGAGCATCCCTGCAAACAGCTCCTGGTATCCATACTGAAGCCAGCAGCATCCCCTGCCCCTCGAGCACCCCGCAGGAGATAGCGGAGGGAAGGGATTGGGAAAGACCTGGCGAAGAGCAGAGAAGCCCAAAGAGAGCTTTACAGAGTGGGGCCAGAAAGGGTGGTACAGAGTGTTCAGACAGGAGATGAGTAACATGACTGGTGAGAGCAATGGATGGAAAAACAAAGGTATTCCCACTTATACAAGAACAAGTGGGTACGTGGAAAATTTATTTACAAACAAATTGCCACCATAGTCAGCTGAATCCCATTTGCACTGGCTCTCTTGGGCT